GTTACTCCAAATTCTAACTCCTATCAGTTTTCGGATTTTGCCAACAACTTTACCTTGTAGTCTGAAGTATAAAATATACTGTTTTTATATCTACTAAATTATTTTGAACAGGGTTCATTGTTTGTACCGGATGCTACTGTTTGATCAATTAGTAGTTTGTTTGATCAGAAGGAATGAAAACTTTGTATCTTGGACGCGAAAAGAATCTATCCCCTTCAATTCTTCCGTCCTTTTGACCGAAAATACAATTTTGTATAATGTTAAAAAATAAAAGCAACAAATCAGTTTGTAGAACCATTGTTACATAAGGAGCAGGTAACTAGCCTGAAAGTAAAGTTAAATAAGTAATTTAATATGTCATCCCCGGAATTACATTAATCACATCGTGACACAACTTACATTCCACATAGCAGGCCGATCATGGATTTTGGTAAAGGTTTCCTTATCAGAAGATTCAAGCGGAAAAGCGAATTGCTGTACGACATCCGTGAAGAAGTAGGTTTGCAGATAGGCAGTCGGCAGCAAAGCAACTAGGGACAGCAACAATATCGTTGTACACATCAGTAAGATATTAATTGTAATCATTAATGCACAGGTGGCACCCACAATATCGTGGCGTTTGGGTCGCCTTTAAAGGGATTACGGGGTCAACACGTTTGACGGGAGCTTTGCCATAACGGTGGAGAAGGATCAGGAGATGTATGTAAAGCTCCTTGTTACCGAAGTAAGTTCGTACGAAAAAGACAGGAACCGCCCACTAAGGTAATGTAGCAAACGAAATAAATACTTTTTCTACACACGCTTTTTCCATCCAGTCAATAAGTTTTTCATTTATCAAATGATCAAAATATTTGTACGAGTTTCCATATGGCTCGTTCCAATGGTTTGCTGTAACTTATAAAACCCATGCAGCTGTGTATAAGTGTCCATTATAGAGCATAACTAAGTATTTATCATTCTATTAGTGCAGTAATATTAGTGATGCACCCTGTGGTTTCGCTTCAAGGTGTGCTTTTTAGGTATAGGTCAGTGCAATGACTTGTGGACTGGCAAATTATGTCACAGTTGATGCTACTACCAAGGCCACATCTTGACCATTCTATCCTTGGGCTCCACCGGTCTCCACCTCCTTCTTCAAGCCCTCCCAAATCAACTTTCCGATTCAAGTCCACGTGGTTCCCATTGACCTACAGCACTTACTCTAAACCGCTTCCAAGGCTTCAGCACTGCTTTTCAGTGGTACATCCACAAATGCCCCCTTTACGCCGCACTCAAAAATTAGGTGACTGTTTTCTATCGGAATCTAGGTAGATCAAACGGGAAGTTGCTTTGTTGCTCCATACATTCACTAAATGTCCTTCATTCCTATCTCACGCATGGTTTCCGCTGCAGTGGGTGTCCCAGAGGCTCAACAGCGGGAAATGGCAGGCATGCTACTCACATTTGGGCATCCTGAGTAACTCTGCTCTAATTTGGCAGCAATACGATGCGTGAGGCCACCCATGCGCTCTAACTATCACGCAAACCTTGAATAGCGAATATTCTCGGCATACGTAGACAGTTTTCCGCACAAAGTAATGCGGTTTACTGAGTAAAATAAAGACAGGTTAGACTTACTTGTTAAGATGATGGTTATAAAACCCGCATATATTAGTAGTTCTTGCACAGTAGTCCTGATTATTGTCTCTTTATCTTGAAGTATCTTCTTATTTCGTGTAGCCCAAAACTCTAAAACAAAATAAGTTTTTCCACACCAATTGCTGCCATAGCTTATTTTCCAAGTTTTTCAGGCTTTTCCAGACAACTTTTTTGATTGATCTGAGCCACAAAATAGACAAAATTTTATCAAAAAGGGAGGCAAAACTTTTAAACAAGCACTTCAATGTGTGAAAAAAAGAATAAATCCAATCAAACACGGATTATATACCTCCTAATAAAAGGTTTATTGTTCAAGTGTTCACAATGTTTTTCATCGCCTAGGACAACTAAGAAGTATCCAAAAACTTTGGATTTAGCTTCCCCTCAATTTAAATGCATCAACATATCAACAAACTTGAGAAATAAGTACCGTGTTTTAAAAAGCCAAAGAAATGTTGTGTGAAAACAAACTTTTTAGGTAATTCACGCAGCAATTATCTTTCTTCCCATCATCTTCAGGGACCACAATATCAAAGCGGTTTGAGAAAAAGGGGTCCTGATTTTGCGTGATGTCAGGCTGCTCTGATCCAGGCAAATTCCTTCCAAACTCCTCGTCCATTTCGGCTGAAAAGACTTCATCCAGTTCTTCGTCCATGGGCTACTTGACTCGTTTGTAGATTTTCTTTTTAAAAAAGAAATATGACTGCCGGAATAAAATTGCAGGGCATTTATATGCTACTCAATTCCACCAAGTAGCATGGTTTAATTTTTCTTAGGCTACTGACGCAAGTGTAAAGATGATACGGAAAAATAAAACCCAAGTTTAATATAATGAATGAATGAAGCAAATGAGTTCTAAAATACATGACATAATCTAGCAACTTTGTCGCATTTGAAGGAATTTAGGTAGATTCCGAGACACTTATCTCCGCATTAATGCAAGTTGAAGTGCATTATTAAAATCACTTTGAATCATTTTGCCAAATACTTGCGTCATTTGTGGTTTTCACCCCATCTTTTAAAGCAATCTTTCATATTATTTCAGCGAACACAGAAAATTTTAGTTCAACACTATGTAATTTCCTAACCTTATCAAGGATACGCAGAACACGGATAGGTAAATAGCAGTTGATATTTCGGATTGAACCATTTAAAATGCTTGATCATTGAAAGCAATTAGCTCCTAAGAGGAAACGACTGATTCCTATTTGTGATCAAATTTAACAAAATTGGATATTAGATGAACATTTGATAGTCATCAGCCCTCATCGGACACTTTAATGAGGCCTCATACATGAATCCATTCCAAGGAATACCTCAACGACATTGTTCAAATCATTGTGAATACAATGGAGTGATAAAAACCTTTGAAAAAGAATTGATTTTTCTAGTAAATATTTTTAATTGCAGTACTGCAGTTGCTTTTGTGCTTTAAACAATGAGCCCAACCGTCGATGTTTAAGGCTCCCCTGATTAGTTGAACGCTTCAAAATTATTGATTTTCACTCAAACTACTGCAAATTTGAACTTGCAGAACTGCCTTAAAATGCCTTTGATTAGGTTCAAAGTTGTCTGTGCGATTCTTCTGCTACTCAAAGCCACAAGCGCATTTTGGGTCAGCGCTCCCACCAAGGCGCAATGTGAATCCAACATCAGACTGTACAACCAAATTTTTCTTGTGAGTGACACCAGCCTTGATGGGCAATTTTTACCACTAGTATATTAACGCAATTTTCAAATACTTTCTCAAAAAGTTGGAACTATTTAGTTCGCCATTTTCAGCGCCACACGATGTTCGCCTGCTGCAACTTTCCGCACATTTGCACCAAATACCAAGTAACGGGATCGGGTGAGGAAAAAGGCGAGGCACTGAGAGACGCCATGTCAAAGGCCAACGTTAATTGGATCTGTCGTTACTGGGGTGCTTGCATTTTCGTAAAAAAGAATCTGTAAGATTTACTTACCACCTGTTTCCAAAAGTAGGCAAATTTAAAAGTAGGCGTTTTAACAACTTTGAGATTTCTGCTTTTAAACAATAGGATTATGGTCGAAGCAATTCATAAATTTCTTTTGCAATAAAATTAGAACAAGACCCTACGGACTTTTCCAATGCAAATTCATAATCTCAAAAAAGCATCCATGGGTTCCTTTGTCCCACTAAACGCAATACTTAGCTTCTTCACAATGGGTGTGTGAATTTGGGTAGGCCATCACTTCTAATAAGCTATATTTGTAAGCCCAAAGAGGTTCAACATCGTTCCACACAAGCAGCTTGATGTCTACGAAGAAAGTTAGAAAAGAAGTAATTAAATATTCTAAACCGCGTTATTAAGAAGGAGTCTAAATGAGGATCTCGCCGCCAGAGGGTTAAAATAAGTGGGATATTTTAGTATCGTAACTCAGTTACAGCTGTAAAATTGGACGGACGACTCAGTGTTGGCATTTCAAATGCAAATCAAGAAAAAGCTGATGGCCTATAACGTGGTGGAATCGCAAATGCCAAATTCAGAATTAATGAAAACATGTAAAGTTTGAATGCCTGCTATTTGTCGGTTTATTGTTGCTCTACTTTTCCATCAACAAACAAAATCTTTGCCGTCCTTTTAACAAACACAGGATTATGTCGAAAGCTGGTAGAATTCCTTGCTCAAGTTAACATAATTTCCATCAAAATTCATTTTTTTTGGTAAATAAAACCTCAGCAAGGATACTGCCAATCGCCCATCAAAAATTTCTTTACACTTCACAGATCGGATTTACGAGTCGGATTCAGGAGAAGCGTGAAGTCATTAACGCTTTAAACGGCAAACTGTAATTAATATCTACAAAATAAATACACTCAGTGCTTCTTGAACATTTTTATTAAATAAAAAGAAGGGGAGAGTGAACTCACCGTATCCACCTCCAGAGTATAACTGCAAGCGAGCTCCCCTTTGTGGCTGTCTTGGACAAGGGCATGTAACACGAATCCTTCTGCTGCCATTGGCCATTTAACAATGGGGTCCTACATGTTCATGTCAAAATTACCATGCCAACACAATGCTCCATTGAAAGTGGTAGCCATGACACCTGAAATTTTGTACTTAGAATCATTGTGCTTAAGCTTGAGACAAGTAGGAAACCAATAGGAATGTGTGAACGGAAAACGAGAGTATTGTTTAGTCGAAAGGAAACTTTTTAGCCCCCTCATAATAGACAATGCGACTTACCAATGACTTATTCACATCCAAACTGAGCCGCAAATTATTGCCAAAAGTTTTTTCCATGTCTGATGGGATTATAGCAACAGACCCGCCAGACAAAAAGTTGACACAGAGACTGGGAAGTATTAAACACGGATGATGCAATCAGGCAAGCACAACTGATACAGGGGTAGCAAGGTGAAAGACTTTTGAACTGCTTGGTACCGAAAGCAATTAGGGCGACTTTCCTTTCGTTAGAAATACGAAAAGGAAATGAGCTACAATGCCGAAATGAGTAAAACAGGTAACTCGCTGTGGCAAATGTGGGATTTTAGAACTGAGAGATGTGTGGAGAGTTTTCATGTACCCCAATTAATTATCATAATCGTGATCATCCACTGTTTATTGTAATATCCTTACAAATTTCCGACTTCTGTGCTAGAATAAACATTGCTGTCAGTTTAAACGAAAACTTGCGTGCAGTGCAATGGCTACATCATGCATTTGGACGTCATAGTAGCTCAGGGGTCAGACAGTTGCTCCTATTAGAGGTGCACAGAAGGGCAGGGTAGAGTGGAAGTGAGGGCGGGACTTCATGGTGCTGTCGCGCATACAAAATCACAGGATCTTAAAAATCCACTTTAATTTACTGCGCAGATCTCCTCCCTTTCAATCTCGCTTTTCCCATAACTGGGAGTCCTTACTCGATTAGCAATGCGGTCTGATAAAATAAACACCCAGATATAAAATTAGGCTGAAGCCTAACTTCCATCATAGTAAAGGCTACATCACCTGAAAAGTAAACTAAATTTGAAGTGAAACTAAACCGTATCTGAAATCATTGCTTAAGGAAAAACACATTTTTCTTGAGTCAATCCATTTAATCAAATACACGACAGAAAGTAGTTTATCATTTGCTTTAATTCCATTCTTTCCTACTACTTATTTCATTGTTTAAAACTGCTCAGCTACCTATAAGGACTGCACTCGCATTCAAGTAACACGGACACCCGACCATTGTCGCAATGTTGGCAAACTGGTGAAGGCAGTTCCCTTTTTAGGGATGCTTTGAAATAGTTCAACGCAGCTAACTTTAAATTTCGAGTAATTCTACGCGGATGTTCTGCTTCTGCAAAAATTTGCCGACCGATTGAGACGTGGGTCTTTACTTTAGGCGTGGGCAAAAAAAAGTTAAAGTTGGATGCATACATTTAATATTCATTGGGACTCTTGAAATTTATGCGCCAAGACCTAGAAGTAACTAAACGAGACAAGGACCATTCTATATAACGGATTGTAGAAAGCATCGCTGAAGTGAGCATCCTTACAATCCACTATTCTTTATCAACTAATTCAAATTGCATGAAACGTGTTCCCGTTGGAAGCCATCTTTATCCCACTAGTTTTATTTCCCCAATGCCTATTCTATCTCGCATAATCATTTAACTGTCTAATGCCAAAGCCAAGGAATGATAGGCATTACTTGAAGGAGTACGAGGTGGGGGAGGGGAAAGGAAAACGAGGTGAGGCAGTACCTCGCTTCCTTCGAGAAGTATAAATCTCACGAATCAGGGATGCGGCACTGAGTAAGAGGAGGACTTCCCTTTAGCTGATTCACTGGCCTTGTCTGTTTTCGCATAGGAGATTTTTGTGCACTGCCAGACAATTTCAGTCAATTGGAGCATAATTCTTGATTGCAAAGAAGGTCCCTGTGAACTCGATGCCTGTCCCGCAGTGTTGCCTTACTGGCAAGAAGTTGCTGAAGCCTTGGAACGGGGCTCAAAAAGGTAATGTAAGCCAATTGGCATCGCATCAAATTTAGCCGAAAATTTATGATAGGGGAGCTTTAAAGAGACAAATGGTAAAGCCTGACAAGGAGTACTGTGACGGTAGATTACCACATTTTTATGCCTCATAATGATGCATATACACACTTCAATATATTTCACAACTACCTACAAGAAGTATTGAGAGATTAATAAAAAAAAATATTTGAAATATCAAGCACATTCCGCTGTGTGGCAACCGAGTCACTATTGAAGACACCTTAGAGCATAGAAGCCTAGAGAAAGCCTCATTATAAAGGTGAGGAACGGTTGAGGTGCTGGTGGTACCAGCGCGGAAACGCAATTGTGAAGGGTCAAATGGATGTCATGTTTGGGTAAACAGAAAAAAATAACAATGCGTAAACTAAAATAAATCAACCCCAAGTAGGCACAGACTTCAAAAAGCACAGAAGAATTTCAGAAATAAAAATCAATTCAGCATCTGAGACATTTTAAAAACCCATGATACAATAGTAACGATATCTGCAGTTGAAATACATGAGAAAATACTTAGTCATTCGAATCAGGAGGTGTCACGTACAAAAAGAGACAAATATAGGGGGAAAGGAGGGAGGGCAGAAATTCTTGTTTGACCGAAAAAGTGGAGCACTCCAGGTAGATGAGAGGCGTGAAGAAGTTCATCTAGGAAGGTATCGAATGCTCGTGAGAAAGGGACCAGACAAGGAGGTGACTCGGCGGATTAGTGATGCGCTTTTCTGTGACTTTTGCACCTAAAAGACAAAAAAAATCATTCTCATCACTTAAAATTACAAGTTATAACAACAAATTGGAAAATTCACGGCACCTTAAGCTAGTATGAAGCAGTAAAACCGTCAATAAAAAAATATTTTAACGAAAATTCTGAACTATTTACCTTGGAAAGAAAAATTTAGCAAATGAAAAAGGATAATAATGCATAAAAAATTTCTGAAACATTTTTCCGTCGCAAGGAAGCAATTTAAATGTATTTTGGGGATGTTTACTACATGAAGGTGCCTGAAAAAAGTCGACCACCGAAGCACAGACGTATCTCACTGCCCTGCCACAAGTATGCGTTTCAGACGAGGAGCATTCCACGCATTCGTCATTCCATTTCACTCAATCAATCTGTTTGAGACAAACAATGCAGCCAAACCAATCACATAAAGACAAAAAAATGGAAGTGTGCTGCTTTAGGTATAGGTCAGTGCAATGACTTGTGGACTGGCAAATTATGTCACAGTTGATGCTGCTACCAAGACCACATCTTAACCATTCTATCCTTGGGCTCCACCAGTCTCCACCTCCTTCTTCAAGCCCTTCCAAATCAACTTTCCGATTCAGGTCCACGTGGTTCCCATTGACCTACAGCACTTACTCTAAACCGCTTCCAAGGCTTCAGCACTGCTTTTCAGTGGTACATCCACAAATGCCCCCTTTACGCCGCACTCAAAAATTGTGCTGCGATTCGCTGAGTTCCTTCCAAAAAACGCATCGCGAACATGCCTCAGTGATGACTGAAGTGAGTGATGATACAATTGACTTTGTAACGCTGTCGTCCCTCATCCTCCTCCCTCCACTTCGCCTCACACTTCCTTTCCAAGTGACTGTTATCGCCTCCTGGCATTAACATTGCATAATCACACAATCACATGCCAAATAGATAGTTGGGAAAACAAGTGATACAGAGACGGAGGTGACCGGGAACAGGTGGTCTTGATTCTAGAGACAAAACGTTTTTATACAATTGCAATCCACAGAGTGCCCGTACATTGGTTGGCAAGAGTGTATATCGTAGGAGCAATTAATTCAACAAACAAAACATTATTCCAAACTCTCTGCTACTTCTTGACCTTCATTGTAACAACTGAGAAGTCTTATTCGGTCATCCTGCACACCCAAATCTTGCCTACCACCAGAAGTAAGACGTAGCTTTAAGTGCTGTAAATTATTTGCGTCCTTCATGTGGCATTAAATGGTGTTGCAACTTAGTGCAGTTGCTAATATTTACCGAAAAGATCCTATTTTGGACACCTCGGAAACATCCTAAATATATTTCTTAAAGTTTACATACCCGAAGAAAGTGCACAAGACCGTTTAACAGTAGAATTTCTCGATTAGGTGAATGTATTCTATTGGAATTTAGGTAGAGCAAACAAAAAGTTCTTTTGTTGTTATATACATTCAATTGCGATTTGATATCCCCGTGGGAAGTGCAGATCGCGACGCACCATGCGTACCTTCAGTACATAATGCCGAGAGAAGCCAAAGTAGAGCGATATTGTGATACAGACTTCTAAATTAGTGACTAGTGAAAAAAGAAAGTAGATCAAAACAATTGGCTCGATGTCCTAAATGCTAGAGAGAGAAAAGCAGGACTACCTTACTTAGGTATCACTCACCATAAACATCTCGATGATGTTCCAAATAACCAACACCTCCGCTGATCATGAGAAGGCCCTGACTATTGGAAGTCGTAGAGGGAGCTTTTGTGGCGTTAATCGGAGTGCTGGAAGTGGTTGCATGGACAGGGGTAGACGACATGTTCCCAAAAGTGAGGGTGAAGGAACTCACCGCCTCCGCGTGTCCGCATCTACTCACCTGAAGCGAAGAGGATTAGGCGAGGTGAGGTACCTATCCTGTTCATTCAATCATATCCAACGATTATCGGCAACTTCGATAAAGCCACCAACGCTCCTGGCTCGTAATGTATCCCTTTAGATGATTAGAAGGTAAACTTCGAAACTATTTGCGGGACAGGACTGACTCCATCTGCGCTTTCGAAATTTTGAACATTATACGAGTCAATTAAGCCAATTCAGGATGGCAACTTTAAATGGTTTACGATAAAATGGATACCAACATGGCGATGTGGCAAACATGCTCTATTACGCATAAACAGTCTACGTACACGAGACACAATTACCTAGAATACTAGGCAGACAACAGTGACAGTCTGTGGCGATGAACTCAATTTCTTATCAACGAAGGAGCAGAACTCGTGCAGACTCCAAGGAAAGTTGGTATAGTGATAGTAGTGAGGCCTGATGGCTTCAAATACGGAAGACCGCATGTTAGCGATTGTGTCAAATAGAGTGGGCCCCAACTCAGGGACTCCGCAGTCATTTCTGTGAACATCTAGGCAGCGTGAGAAACGTCAACCTGATGCTGAACAAATCAATCTGCACCGGAAAATTCCGGATCAGGTGTTGGTTAAAAGCCGCATTAGATGCATGTAGGATAGATGAAAGTGAAAAAAGAACTAAACTTTGTGCGCACTGAAACTTGTTCGTCCTTTCCATGCGCAACCTCAAAAGTCCCAGTGCAGTGCTGATGCCTTTTGGACGAATTCAAATGATTTACTAAGCGCGCTCAAAAGGAGTCAGTGTAAAGTGGAGAGAGTAACGATTATGAGAAGAAATCGAGTGAAACCTAATTAATCGGACCGAATTCGACTCCTGACGACAAAAAAATTTGTTTGCATCCGAAAAGAAAATAGGACTTTGGAACTAGCCTTTAATATGTCTAATGACGATAAAAACACCGATTAAACTATCAACATCTGCAAAATTAGATTCTTTTTTTTAGAATGCACAGTCAAGTTAAAAGCTGACTGAATAAAAACTACTGTAAATGAGTCTAATTTTGGTAGCTATGCGCTCCTGAGAGATACTTATGAAAACCTCTAATATGATATGCTACTGCAACAACTTAGCAGAGAGAGTTCGTCAAAATTAGAGATACTTCACTCCAATTGAATATGGAGGCTTTCATGCCTATCTAGCAGTTGACTTCAACTTATCCGAATACCATTTTCATGACCGACGCGGAGTAACCGCTAAATGTAACGAAGGCCAAGCTCAAAACAAGATGTGAGTTTTACAAGAGGAGCGATATTTATCATGCAGCGATGTTTGCTTTCCTGTGATATCAGTTTTACGATGTTGGGGTGGGAATGGCGTCAGTAGTCCGTCCAATCTTTCAAAGGCTGTTAGCAGAAACACTTCCGGACACTAAGCTTGTGATTATTGATTGTAAGCACAACTTAGGGTCATAACGACGATATCGTGGATATCCAAAAGGGAATAAATAGTGTAAATGTCACCAAACAAACACAATAGTGCTACGCACTAATTTAGTTCCTATAACAAAAGCCGTTGCACCATCATCAAAAATGATACCCACTCGGGGGAGCCTACTTATTAGCAGATAGTAGCAATCACACGAAACGTACCGCGGTGCCGGACAAATCCACTTGAGCAGAAAGTGGTAAGGCATTTTCCCCACAGTCTGAAAGCACAAAAGCCTGCGACGATTAAAATGCCAAAAATATGTAAAAAAAAAGTTGGTGGTAGGCAAGAACAATAACACCAGCAGGGATTTGAGGATCATTAGGCTAACAAAAGCACTCCACGGTCAAAAAGTGCCAGGAACTTATAGAAACAAGAAACTCATATCAAATATTTATAAAATCGTCATGCTCTTAGTCGAAATCATGGCCTAGTTAAGCGGAATATATGTAAAACACCTATACGCAATGCTACAGGAAACTAAGAAAAATCTAGCTAAACGGGTGAGGAGTTCGAAAGTAGGAAACACGCGGAAGTGTGCGATTCAATGCACTCAACCTGACAGAAAGTGGCTCAGAATGAATCCCAACATCTACGAGTTGTGTCACTAACATTCCCCTTCACCACCGTCGTAGCAATGAATTTGTGACTACCTTTGCATTGGCCACTGCAGGAGTGTAACAACTAGGAGATTCAATGATGATACCCATTAACGTTTCCTTATTTACTCAATTTCGTGAAAAAGGAACAACGGAAGCAAAAACCGATCTGCCAGATGCCAGAGACCACTTTAAAATTTTAGTCGAATAAGTAAACCAAAATTCCATAGTTCACTGAATCAAAACCAATATTTTGGAGGAAAAATCCTGATAATTAAGCAACATTGTCGATGATTTTGGGAATCCGCCAATAGCAATTCAATCCGGTCATTATCGGCAGTTACCAGTCACACAAAAATATTCACGACTATGCTATATCATTAAGTTTTCCGTTTTATTATCAATTGAGTCTTGAATAATTATCACGAATCTAAAACATGAAAATGAGCAACTGACCGCTTTTTACGTAGGCGCCATGACTGAGATCTGAGGAGCACGAGTTGGCAAGAGTGGTAGAGGAGGGTGGTGTTTGAATAAACGGTACACAGACAACATGTCCGCCGTTAGTTCCGATCCAGAGATGGTTTGGTGAAACTCCGATCGCTGAAACTGCCATTGAGTTCAATTGTAGTTGAGAATTTGGAGCTCCTACAGTAAAAATATTAGAATAATTGTTAGAAATTTAGGCGAAATTGAATAGAATTGCTATGAGGACCAATTTTAAGGCGTCTAAGCAACATAAACATTACGCCAGAGGTTAAAATCGTAAGTGGGAAGCTGAAACAAGAGGCTTAGAACGTACAACGCACCAATAAAATGAGCTGAGTCTTCAAACGATGTACATTCCATAACAAAATTCCTTCTTCACGACGAAGAATAGAAAAATTTATTTACAAATAATATACTTGACACATTTGTTACCAGCGGCACATGCGTGATAGTAGGGTTTTCGTACCTTGGCTACGACGCCACCCATGCGCAACGTGCCAATTTAAGAGATAAATTAAAAAGAAGGAACGAAGTCCATAAAAATCGACGCCGCGCCTGAACAACAATAAACAACCGCCCTATGATGGTCGATCTCCCTTCGAGATGCTGATGACAAATTTGTTGAAGATGAATTACAAGTTAAAACCTTTCTAAAAAGTGTATGTGCACCAAGGGAATAATAAAAAAAGGCATCAACTAAGAAGTACCAACGAGACATGGGCTCCGGAACCAAAAGAATTTGCATGAGACCTTGTATTAAAGCCTTGTTTTTGGCACCCAAATAAAAGTAGGGAATAAAATAATACTTCAATGTCAACAATTTTCCAACATCAATGACACAAAAAGTGTGTACGTTAGAAACCGAAAAGTCGACACACTTCAATATGTAAATCTGTGACTTTGAAGCATCTGAAATCATTATATTTTTCCATTGGTCGACATTTTAAAAACTTCCAAACAATCAGTTACATTTAAGTAACTTTAAATACGAATAGCAATTAAATCCTAAACATCTTATCTCAAGACAGTGAACAAATTTTTAAGTTCGAATCCCACCAACAGTCTCGTAAATGATGTAGGCCAGATTCAACTCCTGCATCGGTTCATAGGTGAAGGCGTTGAAGAGACGAAGGATGAAGTCTTTGCGTATTGATATCCAAACACCATCACGGGTCCAGCAAAGGTTGCGAACGACGACACTGGCATTTGGGACCACCTCGATTCTACAACGCAAAGGAGAAAGATGCGACAGCCAGAAAGGAAAAATAAGTATCAGAACAGACCTTAGACAGTTGAATTTCGTGTTTAATCGGATAGTTGTTAAAGAAGAATGAGGTCGTTTACTATGCTCGACGCCACCTTCCGCGCATATCTCAGGATAGCAGCTGAGTGATGCAAACCCAGCTTTTCTGTTTTACAACCCGAGTTTAACCCGGTTCCCGAAATACAGAAGCTTTTCCTAAAATATGTGTGGCGTTTTGAAAAAGTACAAAATTCCTTCCAGAAATGACCTGAATAGCTGAATCTGGTGACACAGTACTGAAAGATAGGAAAGTTAGATTTAGGAAGACGCTCTACTTTTCATAATAAACAATGACGCGTTGCCATTTGAAAATGATTTGTGAGGAGATACGCACCTCACTAAAAAAGTAAGGTACTATCGCATCTCAATTTTCGTTTGTACGTCTCATATTTCCTGGCATTAGCATTGGTCATGACATGAGAGAGAACAAAGAATGGGGAAATCAAAGAACTGAGACGGAAACGGAGATGGGCGAGGGGATGTTTTATGCCAACCTATGAAAGGGATACATTTCATAAAAGTGGAATTTGGAAAAAAAGGTTGGATATCATTAAGGGTAACTTATGTGTTATAATTGTGATTGTTTCAACAAACTTCCTACGGCAATGTAATTTGTATTAGACGACATCATGCGAGCTAAAAATGGCCACAAAAAAGAGTATTCTATGTGGCATGATACCAGATATCAAAATGAAGTGTTGACACAATAAAAAAAATCAAAAAAATCAAATGAAAGTGTTAAGGGGACTGAATGAAAAATAGGCAGTCTAAAAAAAAACAGAAAATGGTAAACTAAGGGGTCGGAAGACAAGGAAGTCGACGGTTTTATGCTAGCATTCACTAGTAAACCGTTAACCAGTACAGAAAACTAGATATCAGCGTCGAGGGAGTAAACTAAAGCGAGCAAATGCACTCAGTGTGAATAGCTAAATTGACGGTTTTCAAAAATAACCCCTAGCGGTCTCCCTTAAAGTTAACTTTTTAGACAATGGTCGTAATGTATGCTTGCGAGGGAACGCCCAGTCAATGCAGAAAACTATACATGGATGGGAAGAGGTAGGGAAAATATAAATGATACTGACAAAGTGAAATTCACCTGGAGCTAACTAGAACTAAGTCAGCGCTGGGCAACAAAATGATAAAACATAAAAAGAAGACTGAAATCAGAATCATATACCGATTCTCTGAAATATCAAAGCGTCAAGAGGGAGAGAGCTGTGGTTCGTTTAGTCTGTCTAGTTCCGGCTCATAATGATTTTAGGATAGTAAATAACTGAGCCAAGAGAGGGAAGAGGATAAGATGCTTAGAGAGGATGTTTGCATACGCATAGAGTGGGTAGATTTTGAAACCGATGGAGAGAAATTTCCAATCTCCGCAAGGCACCACTCATGCTCAACCTACTATTAAGCTAAAGCACCAAATCAGTAGTTCAAACAGGGCGGAAGACAGAGGATCATGGGAAGTAATGACAGGCATGGAAATTTGTCGTAATTCCTTTGAGCTACTGGGAAAAGTGCAATTTTTGTAGGCATCCAATAATCCACCAGCAAGTTGAAACAGGAAGGAATGGAGTTAGAGGAAGTGGTGACGCGATGAGATCAGGGGGAGACAAATCGCAATCCCTGTAGATCACTTCAAACAAACTCGGCATCGTTTTAAAGTGCTAAACGCATGACTCAAAGCAAGCAAAGGAATAAAGGAGAGATGGCTACCATCAGTACACTCGATACTGCTTCAAAATCTTAAACTAGTCAGTTGAAGTAAGAGAGATAGAAATTAGAAGAGGCAATGCACACCTTGAGTACATAAAATCCCGTTGAATCAATGATAGAAAAATGGAGAATATGGCTGTTTAGGGCCGCGTTGCCACTGCTTCAAAGGATTAAATCAGCGATTCACTACCAAAAGAAGAGAAATGACTTAAATGCACAATCCATAGAGTGTCATTGGGTTAAGGACAGAGAAAGTCCGGTTCATGTTGGACATTGTGAACTAATAAGGGAATTATTTTACACCAGGGACACAAATAAACCACTGAAAATAATTAAAAAGCAAATAGTATGAACACTAACAGTACGACCCCTGTAGGCAATCCGGAACTACTTTAACGATAGTCTAAGGAACAAAGTGAAATTGAAAAGAATGTGCAGGCAAATAGAGGGAAAGGCAACCATGTCAACAAGTTAAAAACTGTGGAAAAATGACAAAAGAAATCCCTATAGATCACTCATGGTTGGACACCACTTCGAATCGCCAAATAATCATAGCTCAGAAAAGAGTAACAGGGACAACAGTAACGCACGTGTGGAGACGTTGGAAAGTTGTAGCGTCTATTACGATAATCCGGTTCCTGTATGCAGCCCAGAGAGTGAGCGCAGACTCCACCACGGCCAGAGCCTTTATGGCGAATTGGCCGGTGGGTGCACAGCGGATGACCACCGCCTCAGCAAGGCTCCACGCTCCGGCTGCTTCGGAGGTTGACAACTCCTCTCTGATGGATAGCTGGTTGCAAGGCTGTTGGGTAGTGGTCACGTGGCCCTCTCCAAGGGGCGTCGATGACCTTGGAGCGGGTGGTTGGGTCTCAGGACGGTGAAGCTGACGACGGAAAACGACAATGTGGCCGTCGACAAGGCTGATGAAGACTCGGCCAGAAAAGTGGCTAAATGGAAAGAAGGTGATAAGATCAGTAAGTGGATTCTTTTCTACTGTTCGCCCTATCACACCCTCTTTGCGAGTTTTGGAAACAAGGAATTCTTCAAGGTAATTACAAAAATAACTCAAAAACAGAACTCTATTGTTGGCTTGGACAAAGAGCTTCATAAGACCTAACTGAACGAAGCAGAAGATGGAAATACTTAGTGCCACAATAAACTGTAACCAAAGCCGATCACATATCACTCGCACAGGGAAATGCCGTCATCAATAATGAAACTAAACCGGTCAAAGAAACTATTTTAAAAAAAATGACGAAAAGCAAAGGCAATATGTATTAGAAAACACTCCCTCTCTCAATCTATTAAAATCCGTGAGAGTTTAAAATAAGACTGATTTGGCCGATAATAATCTAGATTTACCATTAACCCATCTTTCTTCGTTCGGTTCAATTGCCAGGAATGAATCTCATTCTTCAGATTAAACGCTTTTCGCAAAGTGTGATCACTGGGTAAGGGAAACTGGGATTCACTGCTTGCGTAGTAGTGACATTTGTCTAAAAGTATACTCAACCATGCATACCCTCCAAAATCATCTGATTCAAATACTTGACCATTCGTTTCTGAAACCGGTTATGTCGCTGACTGATATTTATCGACCTCGACCCAAAAAAGCCACTTCACAAAGTGAGCATCTTGAGCACCTAGCCAAGGAAAAAAAGCACATCAAATGAGCCACCAACCCAATGCTTCTTAATTCCAAATATTAAGTTAAGGAACAAGACCCCTCAAAGAAGAGTGAGAATAAGCTCAGTGAGATATAAAAAGGTTAAGCACAAACTAAGCCGTTTCTTTTCAGCTTATGTCCAAAAATGTTCAGTTGACAAATTTACGACCTGCAAACCTATGCGTGAAAGACTGGTTTTACCCTTGGCAAACCTTCTGTACTACCATGAATAAGGATGACAGTAGACTTTTCAGCTTTGACTCCGTCAAAGTTAACAGTTTGAATGTAAGAGGAAGCCTGTCAAGAAATTATCTAAACAAACCTGTTTAA